GTCATTGGATAAGTATGCCCTGGATCATTATATCTAATATACTTACTTATAAGTGCAATATAGTAAAAATGTGTGTACATTATTGTCACCGCATCAAAGTGCCTGTGCGCTGTGGTAACGATCTTGCGACACAAAACCGATTTTGCCTCGTGTGTGAAGAAATTCTAAACTAGTACGGTTTAATATCGATTACTTGAACAATTTCGGTTGTTATAAACTCTACGTGAACATATTTCTGATTGTAATTGACCGATTACGCAAATCTGTGCGTGGAAAATATATTTTTATGATTGCCCGTTTATGATGGCCGATCTAATGAAAGTTTTAAATATTCAAATAGTTTAATGTCTAGTAGTAATTATTTTAATGAATCACTAGCTGACCCAGCGAACTTTATACCGCCTAAAATTTTTTACTCATCTTTTAAATCTTCCCTGGACGTCCACGAACTTTTCAAGACTAAGATTAGTCAAATCAGTTAAGCGGGGTCTCGAGTTTTAGCAAGACTAACGAACGGAAATTCATTTTATTTATATAGATAGATTAGCATCAGTTCACGGAGCAATTTAAATTTAGATTTTATATTACGTAGCAACAAACGGTTGCCCATTTTTGTTCCTAAAACCATACTTACTTATTTAAATATTTATTTGACAACTAGTTGACAAACTTGAATAGCGGACTGAAAAGTTGTTTCACGTCTTTTCTTTGAGGCCCTGGTAACACTCCGGTCGAGCCAGTCCATTCGTGCCGAAGCATTTTTTTTTATAACGCGATGGAAATCCTCATCGACTTCCCACGCCATGGGGACGACGTGTGTAGTGCTGAACTCCGCGGTGTTCGTCCTCTGCCTGTGGCCGTGACCCAGGACACCCTTGCGGATTCACCGAACCCGGCAGGCCTCGACCTACCACTATATTGCGGCAGGTCCCACCACGTAGCAGCCTTCATGCATCAACTTATACTAAGCCTGTCACTCCCGGATACTACTACCCTAAAATTATGACTAATATTTATTCAAATTACTTAGTTACTTTACAATATAAATTTTACTAGAAGATTAATGAAATTCCACGTATTGTTTCAATAAAGATTGACAGACTTTCACTACTTCATGTAGTTTCTTTTATTACAGAAAATGTATGACAAATCATTATTTTTATAGCTAAACATGCTTGTCAACAGTTTTATCTATTCGATATGGTTAATGTTTATTTATTTCAATTATATAATTTATGGACGCTTTGAGCAATATCTGAACAAGTTTATTTTTGGTGATTGCTGTTTTCTTTTTATCTATCTGTCAAACGGTTTTTGTCTAATTTGCGTGCAGTTTAATAAATGAAGTGTGTTACTAGATTGCTGTCACAAATTGATTATTTGACAAAGACTGTCGCTATGTACTTGCTTGGATCCGAAGGATTTTGTTCAACTTTTTAAATTAACTAAAAAGGCAATCTTTATTTCATAGGTTGCTTACGTGACTACTGATTATTTTTGCATAAAATAATGTCAAATACATATAAAATAAGATATAAATACGTATATAATAATCACTATCAATAATTTTTGAAATTAGGCAGCTTTTTTCTATTAGGGTTATTAAGGCAGAACTGACATAAAGTGAAATGAGTTCATTAAAACACTACTAATAACGTAGAAAAAAATTGGGGAAACCTGGCCTTATAATTAAATTAAATTTTAATGTTACTTATGTGTCTAAATCACCAATCCGTCTTGAGCGAGCGTGGTAAACTATGTCCATTCGTCCTCCAAATCAGATGGTATTCTTTTTTGCGAAGTACTGGTACCTACAGCCAAATATCGATGCTGATCGACTATAGTCTTGAAAAGTTGTTTTTTATGCCCCACACTAGGATTTCCTTCTGTGTTCTGATTGTGATTATAAGCATAAACATTTACAAACACATTACACCCAGCCCAGGAACAATGAATCACCCAAAGAGGTGTTCTGTGTGAGATTTGAAACGGCGACAGGCGACAGGCACTGCGCCACTCCTGCAGCTAAAGTAAATTGTTACAGATATTCCAATAGACAAGGGGGATATTTTGTGTTTCCAACAGACTTTTTTTAAACTTAACAATGTAAATAGTCCCCCGACTATTGTTTACACAGTTCTTAGTTCACATACAACAACGGTTGAACTACATATTTGTTTGAAGTATTAGACTCTTAATGTGTGTGTACCTACACATTGATACCTACACATTGTGTTCAGAATTTCTACTTTCTTCTGTCTATTATGCTAATTTCACTAGTTTAACCCGTAAAATATAGAGTTTTGCTGCGGCCCTTTAATTTAGTTGAAAATGTAATAGAATTAGCTACATGCTTTACACTTTCATTTTGGTAACTATACTTTTAGACGTAAGTTAGAAACAAAACATGACACAATTTTATGATAACTCCTTTTAAACTTTGAAAGGTTAGGATGAAGAATATGTATTATTCGATATCTCGTCCATTTTTCACTAGTTATGTTATAAATCTCATTTAATGTGGCTTAGCTTATTGCTATGCACTAGGCTAAATTTCACATTGAATGTTAAATATTTTTTACTTGAATCTCATACTTACTTTGGTATCTCAATCTGGGAATCATTCCCTAAACCTCTTGCTCGGTAGTTGCACTTTATTTTATGACAGCGAGAAACCCACATAGGGCTCGTACACAAAACTGCGATGCAATGCGATGCGAATTCGCAACGCAAAAAATTACGATGCGAATTGCTACGAAGCGGTTTCGTGCGACAAGGCGACACCCAGTGTGTCTATTCGTTCGACAACCGTCAACCGTATTAAACGTATTTTAAATTGAAAACTAGGTCGTGACATAGATCATAAAAAGAAGCGTGTACTTCTGATATTGCATAAGAGATACACGAAAAAGAAACAAAGAAGATTTTGGGAAGATAAGATTATGATGCGCGATGCGAATCAATTCACAAGTTCTGCGATGCGTAGAGGGTTCTCGAACATTTTTCGATGCGACGTTACATCGCAGTTTGTGTACGAGACAAAAGGTACGTAGCTTTTCGGGGAAAAAGAGTAGGAAGTGTGGGATTTGTATCTCTCTAAAACTAGACCGGTGGCCACCCTCAACACCTGTAAGGGGCACCCAGTCATCTTAACGACTACTCCGGAGCCCCTACAGTGCAACGCCTGTTAGGGCACGTCCATCGTACGGTTGGTAGGTAGTTGCCCTTGCGATGACCCGACCGAAGAGGCTGCCAAAATTATGAATGTAGTATTAAAGCATAACATCATGTCTATTCGAAGCCCTAAGGTAATGCTTACTTATACGTATAAAAATATTCCCAAATGTGATGCATTTATCCACTTTCAGCTAGTAATGTTAAAAGATCGTCAGAGACTAGTCTGTACTCATACATTGACTATTACAACTAAGTTTTTTTATGTACTGTACTGAAATGGAACTGAAAATTGAGCTAATAGTATAGTAATTTGGTCGAAAAAATAGATATAATAATATATACTAATGATTACAAACGTTGGTAAATCTTCGTACACATAACAATAACTTGCCTTTTATCGAACGAGGGATAGGCAGAATTGCTCATACAAATTTGGGTACCTAACATCTACTTTTTAGTTGGAACTCAAAATGTGTCAGTTGTATGACCATAGTTTCATGTCCTACTATGTACATAGAAATAACTTCTGCCCGCGGTTTTGCCCGCGTTAGCATCGGTTAATAAGTAGCCATTCCAGACCATCTATCTATTCCTGTTTCAAATTTCATCCTGATCCCTTCAGCCGTTTTGACGTGATTGCGTTACAAACATACAAATACAAACTCAAACTTTCTCGAAGTTAAAGGGTGAAGTGAATATCATTAAGGCCAAATTGCTACCATAATACTTGGTTAGAACTGTAACTCCTATAGAATTCGAATCGCCATCAGAAATAAACAGCGACTAGGATTGTACTGTGATTTATTTGTTAAACGGGCTAGGCCATTAATTGTATGGCTAATTAAGGTAGTTACAAAATATTCCTACATATTTATAAACACTACATCTGCGCGTCGCGTTCCGCGCGCGCCTCAAAGAGCCACCAGACCACCACAGATTGGCCCAACAGGGCCGATGCCGATTCGGTGTTGCGGAGAACCTAACGGATTACAGGGGCTCCGGCTCGACGTGCAGGAGAAGAAACGGGGTGGTTTTTAGTCAGTAAGAGTCTGACACTCCCTCCCGCCTCACCCGGGCGGGAGAAGTCATTAAATGATTTTCCACCCACAAAAAAAAATCTGTAGGTATAAATACATTGGCCCTTATACTACGTACCTAATAGTTCACAGGGGATTGTTAGACGATACCTTTGACTCCAATTAAAACAATTCGGTGCAATACACACGACGACACGACGATGTGACGTATTCACTGCACTGTTATCACACTCAGGGATAGCAAATCTCGCGAGAAAATCAAGCGAGATCTCGTGAGACTAGCAGCTGTGTGTGTTTAAAGACATTTTTTTTGTCGATGATTAGTAGAGGTAAATAAAAGAATTATGCCTAAAGATAAACGAACGAAGTTGAAGGCAGAAGCTAGCTTTTTAAGAATTTTTGATAGCTTACTACTTCTACTTGGATGTACGTAACTATTAAATAACACTTGAAGGGTTTCGACAGTCTTCTCTTATAATATCAAACAAAAATCATAACCTAAATATTCCGCGAGAACTCGTCCAATTTTTTGTACGATAATAATCTCTCTAAAAATAGACGAGGTCGAGATTCCATTCTCCTTTCCCAACTATCATAAACTTCAGTTATTTTTAAAGGAAAATTAATTTCAATCAATTTTAAAATAAAATAATTGAGACAGAAAATAAATATTGCAACATTTTTCACAAGAACGTTTATTCTAAAACGTTTTTAGGTGTCAATATTTAATAAAATATTATTGTCCTGTAACTACTTAAGGAGATGTTTTATTCATTAATTTATCATTTAGTCATTATACACAATAGAGTAATCCGTTGTTGTATATATTATTGTTTCTGACGGACATATTCCAGGTGGCCGACGAAGCACATTACCTGGACATTTAATTCCTGGGCCAATAGTTCCTTCTTTGTCAGGTTCATTCAGCATAAAGGAAGTAAGCAGCACGTCGTACAGATACAGGAGCACGTCCTCAGGAGCTGCTCCTTCCAGTACCGTGGGGACTGCAATATCCGTGCTGACGTGAGCTAGCTCCGCCACTGCACTGGCCACTGCCATTACGAGGATCACTGCTCGCATTCTGTGCACTGAAACAATGTTGTTGTACACTTCTATTAATGCTCAGTTATAAAATTCTACTTGTAGGCAGATCGTATCCATTTTTCTAAAAAAATATTTAGTGGCTTGTTAAAAAAGACGTTGATTAATATAGAATGTACATTTAAGTGATGTTTTTCAGCAGGTAGAAACACATTGGCGTCTTCAATACCATAAAAAATAAATAAGAAGATAATTTATTTTTACTCAAAATACGTCAATTCTAAATCCTACCTTGGAATTTTCTTGTGTTCCTAAAGTGTAGATTTTATGGCGTTTTTCTATAATTTAAAATAAAAATAAAATTCTGCTGATTCAGTACAACTTGAAGATTGATTAAAACCAGTTTTCAAAAAAATGTGTAATCGCCTACTGTTGGTAAACCTAGTTTTCCCTAATATATATTATGTAGGGACTAGGGTTGAGACGAGACGATTGTCATATATCGAGCACAGCCCTAGACTCCATGCGTTAGAAATCGGAAACCCGAAAAATGCCAATAATTATTTGTTCGAGAATCAAACACAATGCCCTTTTTTTGTTTTTTTTTTTAAGGGGGAAAATCATCGAATTACTGCCCCCGCCTGGGTGAGGGAGTGTTGGACTCTTACTGACTAAAAACTACCCCGTTCCTTCTCCTGCACGTCGAGCTGGAGCACGGTTACACGTTAGGTTCTCCGCGACTCCGACACAATGCCCTTTACTTTGACTGTTTGTTTTCACCGTGGGAGAGCCATGCTTCGGCACGAATGGGCCGGCTCGACCGGAGTAATACCACGGCCTCACAGAAAACCGGTGTGAAACAGCGCTTGCGCTGTGTTTCACCGAGTGAGTGAGGGTACCGGAGGCCCAACCCCCCCCCCCTCATAATGTCGCAGTTGATTCAAGAGTTTCTACCCCAGGAGGGTACCAACTGCGTTGGAGAATCCCTCTCTGGACGTCCATTTTCAGAACTCAACTACCCTGAGCGTGGACGTCCAGGCCGCCCCACATCGTACTCTGGGGGGGGCAAAACTGCGCATCATAAAGCTGGAGGCAAGAGCAGAATAACCATGGCACCCCTTGCCACGCTGAATGTGGACTTCTGCAACATAAGGGGATTACACACCAACCTCAATGCTGTCCATCACCACCTAGAGACAGCAAAGCCGGCCTTGCTCTTTTTGACTGAGACGCAGATATCGTCTCCGTTGGACACATCCTACCTCACCTACCCTGGGTATGGACTGGAACATTCCTTCCTGCCTAGGGCCGGGGTGTGCGTGTACATCAGGGACGATATCAGCTCACGTCGCCTCAGTAATCTTGAAGGTAGGGACCTGTCCACCTTATGGCTGCGTGTAGATAACGACGACCACCCCCGTGTCTACGCGTGCCTATATAGGTCCCATAGCGGTGATAGCGAGACTGACCGACTCATGGACCACATCCAGACGGCTGTAGATCTTGTGCAGGGGCAGATATCCTCAGCGGAAGTGGTCTTGCTTGGCGACTTCAACGCCCATCACGCCGACTGGCTCTGCTCCAGTAAGACTGACCACGCGGGGAGATCTGTCCACGACTTGGCTCTTGCTTCTGGCCTAACACAACTGGTGACCGTGCCCACGCGAATCCCGGATGTGGAAGGCCAGAGGTCTTCACTGTTGGACCTTCTGCTGACCTCTCACCCGGACGGCTACAGCGTATCCGTCGAAGCCCCTCTTGGCTCATCGGATCATTGCCTTGTCCGGAGCTCTGTATCTTGGACGTGCACACCGCGACTACAAGAGGTACGCGGTCGCCGTGTATGGCACTATAGGTCGGCAGATTGGGATGGGATGCGGTCCTTTTTTGCATCCTACCCTTGGAGGCGGGCTTGCTTCTTGCAGGATGATCCCAACGCCGCTGCCAATTCTGTTGCTGATGTGGTGCTGCAGGGGATGGAGCTTTTCGTCCCATCTTCTCTGGTCCCCGTCGGTGGCAGATATCGGCCCTGGTTTGATGCTTCTACCAGAAAGGCCTCACGCAGAAAGCAGGAGGCCTACCAAGCCTGGGTCGATGCGGCGGTGGCACGGGATGTAAATACCAGTGCACTAAAAAAGGAGTATAACTTTGCCTCCAAGTCCTTCAAAAGAGCTATTGCGGGTGCCAAGTCGCAGCACATCGGTAGAATTGGTGAGAGGCTGGAGCGCCTTCCTTCAGGAACTCGTTCATTCTGGTCGCTCGCCAAAGCTATCGAGGGCAATTTCTGCAGGCCGTCATTTCCACCTCTGCACATGGGTGAGGATTCGTTGGCTCATAACGCAAGGGATAAGGCTCAACTTTTGGCAAAAATCTTTGCATCCAACTCGACACTGGATGACGGTGGGCGCGAGCCTCCTGTTGTGCCTTGGTGCGGAAGGTATATGCCGGATGTGCGGTTCCACCAGCGCACGGTACGTTTGGCGCTTTTATCCCTTGACGTCCATAAGTCGAGCGGGCCTGATGGGATCCCACCCATTGTTTTGAAGATGTGCGCCCCCGAGTTGGCCCCAGTTCTCACACGTCTTTTTCGGCTCTCTTATTCCTCAGGCGTAGTTCCGACGTCCTGGAAGACAGCTTTAGTCCACCCAATCCCTAAAAAAGGTGATCGATCTAACCCGTCTAACTACAGACCGATAGCCATAACTTCCCTCTTCTCGAAAATAATGGAGTCCATTATTAACTGCCAGCTCCTGCGTTACTTAGAGGATCATCAGCTGCTCAGTGACCAGCAATACGGTTTTCGTAAAGGTCGGTCTGCTGGTGATCTCCTTGTTTACCTAACGCATCGGTGGGCACAGGCGATCGAGTCTAAGGGGGAAGCGTTGGCAGTAAGTTTAGACGTGGCGAAGGCCTTCGATCGGGTTTGGCATAGAGCGCTTCTTTCGAAGCTTCCTTCCTACGGACTTCCCGAGAAATTATGCAAATGGGTCTCCTACTTCCTTGCAGACAGAAGCATTAAAGTCGTCGTCGACGGTGAATGCTCTGACTTGATGTCTGTAAATGCAGGCGTCCCTCAAGGCTGCGTGCTATCGCCTACATTGTTCCTCCTCCATATCAATGACATGCTGCAAATCAGCGGCATTCATTGTTATGCGGATGACAGCACAGGCGATGCCTACTACACCGGCCGCGCTAACATTTCTCGGGAAAACGTCATAGAGAGCCGAAACAGACTCGTGTCTGAAATCGAGACCTCTTTAGGGAGAATCTCTGATTGGGGTGGACTTAATTTGGTCCAATTTAACCCCACTAAGACACAAGTCTGCGTGTTTACCGCTAAGAAACTGCCGTTGGTCGTCTCTCCTCAGTTTCAAAGCACCCCCCTAACTGCCTCAGCCGGTATTGGAATACTTGGTGTCAATATTTCGAGCGACGTCCAGTTTTGCGGTCATTTAGAGGATAAGGCCAAATTAGCCTCGAGGAAGCTTGGTGTGCTCAATAGATCGAGGCAGTATTTCACCCCGACCCACCGCCTGCTTCTATATAAGGCACAGGTGCGGCCCCACATGGAATACTGTTCTCATCTTTGGGCGGGGGCACCCCAGTACCAGCTTCTTCCTCTGGACCGCATTCAGCGGCGTGCCGTTCGGATTGTTGGATGTCCGGGTGTTTCAAACCGGCTCGACACTTTGGCAATGCGTAGAGATGTAGCTTCATTGTGCATTTTCTACCGCTTATACCACGGGGAGTGCTCTGAGGAATTGTTTGACCTGATACCTGCCGCATCTTTTCGCCATCGACCCTCACGACAGCATATGCATCCCCATCATATAGATGGTTGGCAGGCCACAACTGTGCGGTTCTCACGTAGCTTCCTGCCTCGCACAGCAAAACTGTGGAATGATCTGTCGTCGGCGGTATTTCCGAACCGATACGACCTTCAAACCTTCAAGAGAAGAGCGTACTCCTTTTTAAAGGGCCGGCAACGCACCTGTGACTCTTCTGGTGTTGCGGGTGTCCATGGGCGGCGCTGATCGCTTACCATCAGGTGATCCGTCTGCTCGTTTGCCTCCTATTCCATAAAAAAAAAAAAAAAACTATGGACTGAATTAATATCAAAAGCAATAAAATAGAATAATACAGATTAATCTTTATTGCACACCATTAACTGGTCAAGTACCGTAATTATAGGAACAATTATAGAACAATAGGTAGCGGTCACCGGTGACCGCTTGGTGTTTGACAGTTTAACAATATAGTACATACAGGAAAACTGAAATAACAAACATAAAATATATGTAGAGGTACATATTACACGTTAATTCTAAACCTTACCTTGTAACATTCTTGCGTGTTGTTATACTGACAGAATGTTAGCAGCAATTTTATAGAACGCAAACAAAATAATAATCTGTCACACGTTATCACTTTAGTTGCACACAACGCTTTACAGTTATTCACGCTCGGAACCGAATGATATAATGTTGGTCGACTAGGACAGAGCAGGAAAATCACAGTGTATTAGATTAACGTCAGTTTGTAAAACGTGCGTTTCCAAAATTTATGTGTGCTACTTCTTTTTGATTGTAGAAATTATCATATGAATCATCTGGTCCTTGATTAGGCGTAAGCGAATGTCAAACTAATCTCCCTGTTCCTAGTCCTACTCCGAGCTAGGCTGCGGTATGCCATTGCACTTAACCTGCATCCCCGGCCGGGCTTCGGCCCTTTTTTTATCAGGGGTGAAAATCATCTAATGACTTCGCCCGCCCGGGTGAGGCGGGAGGGAGCGTTAGACTCTTACTGACTAAAAACTACCCCGTTCCTACTCCTGCATTTCGAGCCGGAGTCCCAGTAATTCTATTTGATTCAGTACAACTTGAAGATTGATTAAAATGAATTTTCAAAAAAGTGTGTAATAGCCTAAGTACACCTAGTTTTCCCTAATTACACTATGAGTCGCGTCAACCCTTGGGTTGAGGCGATTGTCATATATTGGGCAAAACCCTAGACTCCGTGCGTGGTACGTCGTTTACCCCGGTCACCGGGGCGAGTGGAACCGGCGAGAGATGTCACGCGGTGTTCCACAGGGTTCGGTTCTGGGGCCGCTCCTGTGGAACATCGGCTATGACTGGGTGCTGCGCACCGACCTCCCGAACGCATACTGACAGAATGTTAGCAGCAATTTATATTGAACGCAAACAAAATTATAATTTATATGTCACACGTAAGCGTTTAGTTTAGTTTAACTTGACTGCACGGTTGGTGCGGTGGCTGGGCGACCGGCTGCCGTGCAACGTGTCGCGGGTTCGATTCCCGCACGGGACAACACTTTGTGTGATCCACAAATTGTTGTTTCGGGTCTGGGTGTCATTGTGTATGTGAACTTGTATGTTTGTGAACGCACCCACGACACAGGAGAAAATCCTAGTGTGGGGCAACGTTTAAAAAAAAAAAACTTTAGCTTTAGTTGCACACAACGCTTTACAGTTATTCAACGCTCGGAACCGAATGATATAATGTTAGTCGACTAGGACAGAACAGGAAAATCAGTGTATTAGCGTCAGTTTGTTAAACGTGCATGTCACAATTTATGTGTTTTTTATAAGGGGGAAAATCATCGAATGACTTCTCCCACCTGGGTGAGGCGGAAGGGAGTGTCAGACTTTTACTGACTAAAAGCCACCCCGTTTCTACTACTGCACTTCGAGCCAGAGCCCCAGTAACCTATTAGGTTTTCCGCGGCGGTCCCAATTTATACGTACAGCTTCTTTTTGATTGTAGAAATTATCACATGACTCATCTAGCCCTTGATTAGATGTAAACGAATGTCAGACTAAACTCTCTGTCCCTACTCGTACTCCGAGCCGGGCCGCGGTATGCCATTGCACTTGCTCGCCGTCCACAGGCCCGTGCTTACGGTGGGTGGACATCGTCTCGCGATTCCCGACGCCCGGAATGTATCTCGCGACGACCGGGGCGTGAGGAGGTTCGTTCCTTCACGCGATCCACCTCCTCTTTAGCTAGCTGACTGCTTCGCAGAAATAGGAGACGGCATCCTAGTCCCCATCGCTTCGTACTATGGTCTGAACCAGAGCCGGTAGCGAGAGGTCGCTGTCGCCGATCACATCCCTGAGGACACGGCGGTGCTCAGCCTACGCAGGGCACACCGCCACCCTATGCTCCACCCTGTCCTCATGCGATCCTCGCAGTGATGACACCCGGGCGTTTTCTCCCGCCCAATCCGAAACAGGAACCTACCGAAACTCGGGCTTCGGCCCTAATGGTTCATTATAATGGGTATAGTTAAAATAAGACAAATAAAAAATATTAATTATTATTCTAGGCTTTATTACTCCCAACACAAGAATCACTCTGTGACTCGAATCGAGTAGAGCTTTTCTCAATATATTTACGTGAATACCTTGTAATCTGAACACACATTATACTTTAAAGGTAAAAATTAAATTATTCATAGGTACAGAAAATATTTATATAACAGGTATTAACTTCTTATACAGTTATAAACTAATGCCCTGTAACTTTTTAAGAGAAATTTATTTATGCATAGATTAGGTATACATAACGGTATAGTCGATTGTCCCATCGTTTGGTTTCGAACATTTTCCATTTGGCAGATGCGGCCTATCACCAGGACATTTCCTCCCTTGGCCAATATTTCCTTCTTTGTCAGGTTCATTCAGCATGAAGGAAGTGAGCACCACGTCGTACAGGTACAGGAGCACGTCCTCGGGAGCTGCTCCTTCCAGTACCGTGGGGACTGCAATATCCGTGCTGACGTGAGCTAGCTCCGCCACTGCACTAGCTACTGCCATTACGAGGATCACTGCTCGCATTCTGTGCACTGAAACAATATTGTTGTACACTTCTATTAATGCTCTGTAATTAAATTCTACCTGTAGGAAGATCGTGTCCGTTTTTTCCAAAATGACACTGCATTAAGTAGACCTTTGATTTCTTCTAAATATACGATGGTTAATGTAAAATGTGTGTTAATATAAAAAGCAGTGATGTCTTTCAGTGGAAAGAAACACTATAGCGTTCTCAATACCTTAAAAAATCAATAAGAATAATTATTTCTACTTAAAATACGTTAATTCTAAATCTTACCTTGGAATATTCTTGCGTTCCTTAACAGTCAAAGTGTTCACAGCAGTTGTTATTGTATGTATATAGAATTATATTCCATATATGGTGCGTATTATTCCTTCACGTTGCACTCTGCAGTTATTCAACACTTTAAACCGAGTAACATACCTATGTATATGGACGTTAATCAAATGGGATTCAACAGGAAAATCTATATATAGGATTGACGTAAGCCAGGGGTTCCCAATCTATTGTAACCCGCGGCGCAGTTACAAGTTGAATATTTTTGACGGTGCCCTATCCTAGCTAATTTGAGGAAAACAGTCGAAAGAAATAGGTACCTACAATAAAGTAGTTAGGTTAGGTCGATCGTAACGAAAATTAAAACACCACAATATCAAATTGACTTTTTTATTATAAAATTATTTAAACGGAAAACAACACACCCTTAAGAAAAAGCAAAAAATTAAATACGATATTTACTCAGTCAAATTAATGTGAAGGGTGAGCTTAGTGATTTAGTCCGCACGGTTTTTTTAAAGGGGAAAAAGACTTCACACTGGTTCTCTCATTTCTTGCTCCACATTGATAAAAAAAGTATCCGCCAACATTTGTGGTGTTCAATAATTAGAGAATTCACTTACGGCGCCGCTCTTTACTTTCTACGGCGCACTAGGGCGCCGCGGCGCACACTTTGGGAACCCCTGACGTAAGCTAAGAAAAATGGGAGTTCCAATCGATGTCACATATTGGTTCACTTCACACCCACTGTCGTGCATTGGCTGAAAGAACATGATAATGAATCATATTACATTGGCAGCTAGCTTTTGGTATTTAGATTGCATTTCTTTTGTAACTTGTGTTGCTAGTAACGGAATGAAAATTTTATTTTTATTTCTTTACATGAAAAATCTCCTTGGTGCGTCCTCCTGAAGACCTTACTCGTTCTCATCTTAAATTGTATCTTAAAATTGTGCCCCATAATACCGACTTCTACTCCTACTCCTTCTCCGTTCATGCAGTGAGACTATGAACTCGCTCCCGCCGAACGTTCGGGACGCCAAGTCAATCTCTATCTTTAAGAGACAAGTGAGAGAACATTATCTTTCCTCCTGAAATATAGATGTTTGTTTATATTTATATAAGTAGGTATATTTATTTATTGGTTACTATTTTTAATAATTTTATATTGGTTTGTTTTATTGTTTATTATTGTTGTTGTTTAATTGATTTTTATCTTGTTTGTGTAACACACTATGTGTCTCAGTGTTGTTATATCTTTTCCTGTCACAGGCCCACAGGAAGAAATTCCAGTTGGAATATGTGGGGCTTATGTACTCTGTTTTTATATATATATATATGTATATATATATTATATGTATATATATATTTACATCCTGCTATCGATTGGACGTCCCATGAAGGCAAAAGTGCATTTAATCTGGCGTCCACCTGCTTTTGGCGTCCGCATACCGGACGCCACTTTTTTGGTCTATGCTACTTAGGTCCTTTTGGTCCTGGCTACACGTAGGTTAAAAATCGACAGACCCCAAAAGATCGGTTCAATGGCTGTTATAGTATTTTGAAAAGTTCCCAAAGAAATCTCAGCGCGGCTAGAGCGCTGCTGTAGCGCGTATATCCACAGCTGTATATTTTTGGGATTTTCTGACTATAATTCCGCCTATTTGGCGTCCTCAAAAAAAATAACAGCGACGTTGCCAGTTCGCTCATTAAATCTGTCTCAATAGATCATAATATTATCTACCGCATTCGAAACAATATTCACCGTCGTAGATTCGGATGTGTTGCGTATTATTTGGAGTCCGATTTTATTCAATTAGATTTATTTACATTTTAATACATGTCAGTGCAACTTACGACAACTTATCTGCAATCCTGTTCTCAATTTGTCAATGAGTACCTATCACTGATATATAACAGATGAGGGTATAAATTAACTACTTAATGGGATCTTAGAAATAAGTACTAAAGTGACAAAATTATATGTCTTACCACAAAAAAAGGTTAACCAGAGTTTAACTCGTATAGTATAGTTTCCGTATAAATTTTGACGTAATTTTATTAACTTTATCTATTTTTGTGGTTAGAAGGTGCATATAACACTGAATAATTAATGAATGTTGTATAGTATTACTGATAAAACCAATCAACGTTTGTCTTTTTATT